GATACAGTCCATTTATCTTAACAGGGATACAGTCCATTTATCTTAATAGGGATACAGTCCATTTATCTTAATAGTGATACAGTCCATTTATCTTAATAATAGGGATACATATATTTTAATAGGGTAGATGATAAAAATCTTCTCACAACTTATTGTGTCAAGTAAGCTAACTTTTCACAAAATATTACTAATGTTTAAAATTATAAATATTGAGGAAAAGTAAAAAATATGGAAAAGTAAACTTGTTGACAGTGGTGTAAAGTGAGACCTTGATACTTGACTGTATAAAATTTAATATAATTAAACCTACTAGTGTATATACAAGGTGTCCAAATAAACATGGGAATTCAGAGACAATTGGAAAATCGAATTTTATTTCCAATTTTTATAAAATCACAAAGATTTTACGTTTTACGGATCTTAGAATCAATAAACTAGGCTTTTTGGACGCTTCTCGACCATCTACTATTTCAACTTTGGCTTTATCTGTGAGAATCTTCTCTTTGTACAGCATAAAAAATGCTTGCGGATTTCATAATATTTTTTCGCGCATTTTCAAAATTTTATAAAAAAGTTAAAACTTTTAAACACAAATTTATGAAATTTTGATCATTCATAAACTTTCCCTGGGGTTACGTGAGGTCCCACACCAAATTTGGACTTGATCGGTTCAGGTTTTGACGTTTATTGGATACAAACTGACAGACAGACAGAAAAGCAAAGTATATATATATAGATAGATTGTTCATTTGAACAATTTGTTTGTTATTTAATGCATTGGAATCTGGAACAAATTTCTCAATAACCCAGCCAATTATGAAGGTGTTGCTTCAAAACAATCAGAAAGTCGGAAACACTTATATCCCATGTTTATTGGGACACCCTGTTGCGACGTATTTAAATAATTTGTATTGTTTGAGTTCAACAAAGTATATATTATGTTCACATTCAAATTAGGTGTTTTTATAAACTTTAAAAAATGGGACAAATTTTATAAAATTACCTTACTTACAGTAAACTTATTTCAGAGTCAGATGGGAGGGGTCTTAAGATTTTGTTAAAAATAAGAATGCGTTTATTTAAAAATATCTTCTCAAAAGTGTATATTTACTTGGAGACTAGGAAACTGTTAAATTTCTTACGTTAAAGAGGATATTATCTTTTTACAAAATTATTCAATTAAGTCGGAGNGGGGGGGGGGAGATGTGTTTTTTTCCAAATAGAAAAACCGCAATTTCCATGCTTTGGTGAATATCCTTGTAATAAGAGATTGAGGAAAACCACAAAATATTGGATGGATGGTTTTTGGACTCTTCAAGTATACATGGATACAAGGTTTCTCAGTACTTTAATCGTATACTTTAAAACCGAAAAGTTGAACATCTATGGAATTACTGGTAGAATTTTGCGACCTCATCAGGTCTTTATTGTAAACCTAAGAGTGACAAAAATAACCTTTTTTTAGTTGTGTTTAGGAACTCTATTCAGTAACAGGAGTTGCGTTATAAAATTAGTGCAAGTTTCAAAAATAGACGTATATATTAATATAATAATAATGGACATTATTTTTTTGTGACAATTATAAAAAATGTTAAGGACTCTCGGATTCGTTGGGGACTACAAGGATAGTTTGGGACTAAATGGTTAGTTTGGGACTAAATGAATAGTTTGGGACTACAAAGATAGTTTGGGACTACAAGGATAGTTTGTGACTACAAGGATAGTTTGGGACTACAAAGATAGTTAAGGACTACAAGGATAGTTCGGGACTACAGGGATAGTTTGGGACTAAATGGATAGTTTGGGACTACAAAGATAGTTTGGGACTACAAAGATAGTTTGGGACTACAAAGATAGTTTGGGACTACAAAGTTAGTTTGGGACTACAAGGATAGTTTGGGGACTATGAGGATAGCTTGGGACTAAATGGACAGTTAGGGACTTAAAGGTATAGTTTGGGACTAAAAAAATGTCCAAATACATTAGATATTTTGGGAATAAATCGAAAGTTTTGGAAAAAATGGACAGTTTTGGACTAAATTCATAGTTTGGGACTACAGGGATAATTTGGGATTAAAAAGGATAGTTTGGGAATAAATAGATAGGCAGTTTGGGGCTAGATTGTTTTGGACAAAATAGATAGTTAATTTTTGGGACTAAAAGGTAAAGATTGGGACTTAATTGATAGTTTAGGACTGATTGGATATTTGGAACTAATTGGATAGTTTGGAACTAATTGGATATTTTATATAGAAAGCAACGGCAATTTTCATATAATTGAGATTTTCTATTGGAAAGATTTTTTTAAAGTTAAATTTTTCTTTATACCACTGTATTATATATTATCAAGTAGATCATGATAACATAAAAGTTGTCACTTTTAATATTTTATAAAGTACGACTTTCAAAAAAGTATATAAAATATTGTTTAAGACCAAGCATATATAAGAGTTTTACTTTTTTTACCATCAATTATAAGTGTTATGTATATATTTTTTATAATCCTATGGCAATTTGTTTTCATATGGCATCAAAATCAATTTGATGTTGAACATAATTTCTCTATGAGCCTTTCCTCGTCGTCCATTCTTCTTTTAGGAATCATATTATGCGGTGTAGGAACCGGCATTGCCATATTTGTAATCCCTCCGCCGTTTACAAATATTATATTTCACAATCTAATCATAATGTAGATGATTTAGTTCTGTTGGGGTAGAATCTATATAGCGTATATCCCTTGTAGCTTGAGAATAGGGGCTAGAAGGAACCATCAACTACCTGTCACTGGTTTAAAACCAACTATTTAACTAAAATATGGATTTTTAACCACATTGCGCACTTCGTCACATTTCTACCTCATAGCGAGGGATCGATAGATATTCTAGGATTGAGAAAATCCGCCAAATCTAGTAGAACAGAAATCCACGAAAGTAAGGTTACATATATGATTCTGTGCACACCAACAAAGACAGACTGCCCGTGTCGATATTTTCTGCCTGCCTCAATCTATCTAATCGTGTGCTGCGCATGCGCGGTTTACATGTACGCATGCGCGCACATCGATTTAAATTCTGATCTGATTTTGTCCGTTAGATGGCTCTAGTTGTTTTTGTTTTCTTCCAGCTTTCTCTTGAAAGCTTATTCAAGGAATGAATATGAATGTCGTTTTTACATGAACGTCCCAGAAATAAAATGACAGACCACATTTTAAATGCACTAACAGGGCTTAGCTTAGTTCTTTTAATCCGAAGTTTGTAACACCCAGTAGAAATTAGGAAGTTAGAATACAAACATAAAAGTTTGTGTACATTTAAAACATATATACAGCTAATACAGCCGGCCTTATTTCCATAATAAAACTAGAAAACATGTATTTAAAAAATACAACATTTAACAAATATAACAAATATAACATCACAGATTTATCTTGGTAAAAACGACAAAAATTAGAGAGAAATAATAATTTAATTTTCAATTGACAATTTGTTCGTTAGTATATGGGACTTAATAACACCTGGAAAAACACACACTTCACAGTTTCACAAAAGACATTTTAAATAATGAACAATATTCATCACTTTTCACACATTTTTATAGCCATAAAAATATATGCAATAATTCACAAATTTGAAATTTTACAAAACACCAGCTTTTAAAAACATCAGACAAAGATATAAGATTCCCATTCAAATGTGAATTTGACATATAGTGGTATGTGTGTGTGTGTGTGTGGGGAAGGGGGGGGAGGTCTTCTGCAATTTGAAAGAAAAAACATTTCATAACTAATAAAATGCTTATTTTTGATAAGAAAAAAAAGAAATTAAAAGACAGATGTATTTTCACCATTCTGTTGGGGGGGACGGGGGGGATGGGGGTTGCCCCCCTTCTAGTTAAGAATATTATTCAAGGTATTTTCAGCATCTGTTATCTGTTGTTCTATTCTTGTTTTTGCCGAGGCGTTGCTCATATTCCGTTTTAGAGTCTCCTTCAACGCCTAGGAAAAAAAACTTTTTTATGTCAATTAAGTTCTAATAAAATAAATCCTGATTTCTTTAGTTGTTTGGTAAAGGGTTACCCACAAACGATGAGACTGTAAAGACGACCCCTAAATCCTAAAATATGACGATTTGAAGCTTGATTATTAATGTCTACTTGACTTAGAATTTAAATTTTTAAGGAATGGGGACTTAACAAATTCCTTAGTCGTGTCTGAAGTCTCAATTTTTTTGGGTAACCCTGAAATAAAGCCTCCGATCTATCTTTATCCTGACTAGATTATAAAACACTCACTTAATTAATTATGGCCATCAAAGAAAGTGTGATGGGCTTTAGTTAAAAAATCTAATCTTAAAAAATCTAGTCCTTGTAGAAGTTTAACATCGAACTCAATAATAAGTTTTGTTGAGATAATTAAAAAAATTTTAAACCTTAATTTAAACAAAAATGTGGAAGATATCATCGTCGTTTTTCTGACGTTTTTCTATTCATTTCTTTAAATTTCCTCATTGCTTCTAATAAGCAAGATATGCGCAAGTCACAATTGCAGAGAAACCAAGCATGAAAAAAAAACAAATTAAATAAAAAACATGGATATCTAATTTAAACTTGATCAGAAAAAGCTTGAAAGTCGGAGATTGTCATCTTTGCATAGAGGGAACTTGAGTTTACCTGGATAGATGTTCTATGCCCCGGAACATTATGGAATACGCGCACATGTTTGTCTCCTGTGGTGAGCACATACTTGCCAGCTGCATCAAACAGAACGCGCGTAATTGGTTGCGTGTGTACGTCAGTTATCTCACCCTCAAGCTCGCCTGCACAATGCACATTTAAAAAAACGCAGAAAAAAAACATTACAATATGTCTGAAAAAAAACCAAATTTTTGACCAAAAAAATTTGTCAGAGTCAAACCAGAAGACAGAAACAAAATGTCACACAGAAACAAAATGTAACACAGAGACAAAATATAAAACTAACAAAATGTCACACAGAAACAATATCTGTAACACAGAAACAAAATTTTAACACAGAAACAAAATGTAACACAGAAAGAAAATGTAACACAGAAACAAGATGTAACACAGAAAACGTCCAACCAAGAACATGATTTCTGACAAACTTCACAAAAATAACATGATTTCTGACAAGCTTCACAAAAATAACATGATTTCCGACAAACTTCACAAAAATAACATGATTTCTGACAAACTTTACAAAAATAATATAATTTCTGACAAACTTCACAAAAATAACATAATTTCTGAGAAACTTCACAAAAATAACATGTCTGACAGATAAAAGATATCACGGGTAGCCGTAGTACATTTGAATTTCCGAGCCGGGTCAACGTTTCCCGTCCCAGTTTGTACTGTATCGCCCGGACAGAAATAAAGCAGACACTCAATAGGACTAGCCCGTGCAATAGGTTGACGCGGTCAGACTTTAGGTTGAATTTTCTTTTACTAAAGGGGCAGAGGTGCGTGATATCCACAAAACAAAATGTCTGTAACAATAAGATGTCCGACAAAACAAAATGTCTGCTTCAAACAAAACGAGATCATAATCATAATCATAATATCCACAAAACAAAATGTCTGTAACAATAAGATGTCCGACAAAACAAAATGTCTGCTTCAAACAAAACGAGACAAAACAAGATGCAGCTAAACAAAATGTCAAACAACAATAAATCAAAGAAAATATGGTTGATAAAATAATGTCCCACCACAAAGTATGAAAGTAATTAACATGGATCCAATGATATACATTGATATAAATTAGTATAAGTATATTATACTAGCTTGAGAACCCAGTGAAAAACTAAAAAACATGTTTAATATTTNAAATAATGTCCCACCACAAAGTATGAAAGTAATTAACATGGATCCAATGATATACATTGATATAAATTAGTATAAGTATATTATACTAGCTTGAGAACCCAGTGAAAAACTAAAAAACATGTTTAATATTTTTCAGCGAGTGTTTTGACAAGGTTAGTGTATCGTAAAAACCAGATTATTTTTCGACTAAACTTACATAAAAATAAAAAAGTTTTCAACATGTTTTAAAATTTTTTTAATATTGTCTTATAAAGTAGTATCTGGGGTTTCCAAAATGATATTAAACAACATTCCAAGTCAAAAACTATGCATTTTATGAACATTTTAAAAGAACAAGTTCAAAATGTGCAAACACGTCATTAAATTATAAGAAAGTTACAATTTAAAAAAAAAACTCAAACTTAACTGTTCATTAATCGGCCAATTTTGAAGGTATTTCAAAAAGTAATGACATTTTAGAATAAGTATAAAAAATATAGAAAATGAAAAAAAAAAAATTTTGTTCAGTTCTCAGGGTATGTTAGTGAAGTGCAAGTGCGCATCAATAAAATCGATGATTTTTGTGATAAAACTGCTTATAAAACTATGAATTTTCAAAATATTCATTATGAGTTGGTTTTATCTTTTAGACAATTATCTGGGATTTCCAAAATGATATAAAACATTATTCTCAGTCAAAAACTATGGATTTATAAAAGTTTTAAGAAATAAAATGAATGAAGTTCAAAAATGGCCATAAAATCACGTTTTTTTCCGGTGTCACTTCCGGTGTTACCCTTGGTAATCTTAGATCCTCCCACTCTTTAATTTTCCCGCGCTTGGTATTAGATCATAAGTTTAGATATTTTCCTATAAAAATCGACTAAGAATCACAAACTAAGCTAAGAACATTCCCTTTCTGTGGTTTTCCCGAGTTCCCTAATCAAAATTTGAGGCAAATCGGTCCAGGCGTTCATGAGTTATGATCGAAAATTTTAATGAATCTAAACCTGTGAATGCTGAGTAGAAACGTATTGTCTTATCCTGGGCTATACAAACACACTAAAATATTAACACTTGTAAATCATTTAAAGAAAATTCTAAGATTAATAAAACTAGAATTTCACAACCATTTTTTTCTTTTTTACTAAAATAATCATTTTAGACCGAAAATAAATAATGTGTCTTTATTTTCACTTTGCTCTAATCAAATTGTTTCTAATTTTTTTCTTCCACGGGCAACGCCGGGCCCTTCAGCTAGTTAATATTATTACCAATCAACCTACAGTCAAATATTTTAATGAAATCTTGAAAGTATACTCCCTTTAAGTTAGCATTTCATAAAATGAAATGTAATGCGAAGAATAGAAAAATTGGAATTATATGATAATGCACACAGCAGAATGTACACAGTTTATAGTACACAATACACAGTTAACAGTACTAAGTACAAAGTTTACAGTACAAAGTATTCAGTTTACAATACAAAGTACAAAATATACAGTTTAAAGTTCAAAGTACACAGTTTAAATTACTAAGTACATAGCTAATGGTAAAAGTACAAAGTAGATAGTTTAAAGTACAAAATACAAATAAATGGTACAAAGTACATAGTTTACAATACAAAGTACACAGTTTACATCAAAATCATTTGTTTCAAGTACAAAGTACACAGTTTAGCGTCAAAAGTACACTTTAAAGTACAAAAAACACAGTTTACAGTACAAAGTAGTTAACAGTACAAAGTACATAGTGTACAGAACACGCACACAGTTAATGGTTCAAAATACATAGTTTACAGTACAAAATACACAGTTACTGCACAAAGTAAACAGTTATTAGTACAAAGTACATCGTTTACAGTACAATACAAAATTAATGGTACAAAGTACAAAGTTAGTGATTTAAAGTACAAAGTTGATGGTACAAAGTACACAGTTAATTGCACAAAGTACATAGTTAATATTACAAAGTACATAGTTTAAAGTACAGAGTACATAGTTTAAAGTACTAAGTACAGAGTTTACAATACAAAGTACACAGTTCACAATAAAAAGTACATTTAACAGTTATACTAAGTACACAGTCTACAATACAAAGTACACAGGTGAGAGTACAAAGTTCAAAGTACAGTTATCAGTACAAAGAACACAGTTTACAATACAAAGTACAGATTAGAGTCTTTACCTTAGACACTGTTGCCATCCTGCTGGAATCAGGAGTAAAACAGAAACTGTAAACTCCACTTCTGTGTCCTGAAAAGAAAAGTATTATTATTATTATCGATGTAATCATCACTTAAATTCGAAGTCAGATTATTGAGTAGTTTAATTTTCCTTTTANTCCCCCCCCTAAATAAAAGCCCTCGTACGCCCCTGTATGTGATACCGTTCAATATAAGTGAGATGAAAAGATGTTACATCGTCTATACGCAACATCCCCTCTACTGAACTTCTGACTTACAGGCTTTCCGACATACTGCATTATCCGACCTTCGACGGCAATTTATTAAGTATTATTTGAGGGTTAGGTTAGGTTAGGTTAAAACAATTGCTGGGCCGCGCGCTGCTGCTAAGAGAGACTAGGGGGCCGAGCGCCGCTGCTAAGAGAGGCTAGGGGGCCGAGCTCCGCTGCTAAGAGAGACTAGGGGGCCGAGCGCCGCTGCTAAAAGAGGCTAGGGATCGGGTGCTGCCGCCACATGTCCCAACTATAGCAGCTATAAAACCATGTGCGAGTAGCTTAGAAGTTTAGTAAAGCGGTTTTGCGTATGTCGAAAGATATACCATCACCGAAAGTAAATAAAATTTGTCTAAAATTTCACCTGGCAACTCAAAAGCGGAAGTAATCTTTTCAAAGTCTCCCGACCTTAAAATATTAGAACAATATGATAATGAATATATTTTAATGTTGATTCTGCTAATACATTCCGAAAACAATGTGAAAATATTCAAAAGTATTTGAGTCTCTTCTTCATTAATCAACTTAAAATTTGTTTTATTAATTTTAATGGTTATCATATCGCTGTGCCCAAAATATATTTTCAAAAAACATATGAAAAAAAAATCGGCTGTATTTACTTTATTTTTGGTTTGGTCCAATATCGTAACACATACTTTTAAACATTAGAATTGTTAATTTGCTTTAATATAAATTTGAAATTAGCGGAGAACCTAAAATTAGTGTATATTTTGCTACCTAGAGGATTGTTAATTTGCTTTAAAATAAATTTGAAATTAGCAGAGAACCAGTGCTTAAGATCCATTTTATTTTGATGTGGATCCAGATCCGGATCCTGGATCCGCACTGGAAAAAATGGATTTGGATCCGGATCCAAATCCGGATCCAGGTCATTTCTTTAAGATTTACTGAATTTTTTTATCAAAAAATAATTTTCAAATTTGTTTGTTTGTTTGTTTGTTTGTTTGTTTGTTTGTTTGTTTGTTTGTTTGTTTGTTTGTTTGTTTGTTTGTTTGTTTGTATGAATCATAAATCAAATCAAATCATGTGTTTAGGGAGTCCTACTATCCACTCCTCAAACTATATTCAAGACAGGAAACGGAATGTCATATTATATGAGTTTCAAGGTCTTATAATTCTTATTCTCTGTGGGTAACCCTGTTCTACTGGAAAGGGAAAATTCCTTTACCTTCCGCAGGGGGACACCTTCACGCAATATGTCAGGTTGTGATAGGTGTCTAGATAATCATAATAATAATAAGAATAATAATAATTACAACAATACAATTAATAGCAATAAAAATAATAATAACAACATTAATAAGAAGAATAACACTAATAACAATAACAATAACTATAGCAATAACAATAGGACTAACAAAAACAATAGTAATATCAATAGCATAGCAATAGCAGTAACAATAGAAATAGTAATAGCAAAATCAATAATAACATAGTAATATCAATACTCAATAGCAATAAAAATAACATTAACAACAACAATAGAAATATAAGCATAAATAGCAATAGCAGTAACAATAGGAATAGTAATAGCAAAATCAATAATAACACAGGAATAGAAATAGCAATATTATAACAATAACAATAGCAATTACAATAACAATAGCAATAGCAAAAACATTATCAATAGCAAAAGGAAAAGAAATAACAATAGCAATAGCGATAGGAATTGAAATAGAAAATGCAAATACATTAACAATAGGAAAAGCAATAACAATAACATTGGAAAAGCAATAAAAATGACATTAGCAATAAACAATAGCAATACATCAAAGAACTAATTATCGTAAATTTACCTAATCTAGCCAGAATTTCTCCCCTGTTTCAGACCAACAAATTATTTTAATATTTATATCACTTTTTTGTTGCTTTTTAAAGTTTAGTAACACGACCTGAAATTGCGCGAGTTTTATATTGCTGAATAATGATATTCACTGTGACAACTCTTAAATTTGAGAGATAAATGCTGGATCCATTCATTTTAATCATCCCTGCAGGGTATGACCATCACGGTGTATCAGAGATGATTTAAAACAATGCTTAATCCTGGGATTCACAACACTAAATTGCGGACTACTGATCAAGTAATTGAATATTTATAAAATATATTATTTGTCTGCCTAAGGTTCCAAAGAATGAGATCAGTTTTATCACTGCACGTCGCTATAAACCTGAAAACAGAAGTGTGAACTAAAATTCTTTCAGCAGTGTATAATTTCAAGAAAGAGAGGGGAAATAAATTTAAAAAAAGAAAGAATCTAAACGAAAAGTTCTTTTTTTCACCCTTTAAAATACTTTAGACCCAAAAATTCAGTTTATCCATTAAAGGGATAGTAAGCGTAATTTCAAGTGACCCTCATATGGTCCCTTTAATGTCGTCTTTCCCCCTTTCTGAAACTATAAAAAGTCTTACCTCCCATTACTGGCAATATCCAGACCAATAATATCTGTTGTGTGCTTGGAGGGAAAGGTTAGAGCAGGAGCGAACTCAAAACCTAAAAAAATATTTTAAATTTTCTTCTCCCTTTTTTGACAAATAAATCTAGATTAAAAAAGTTTGGTCACTTATATCATATGTAAAGGATATGAGTCAACATTCTTTGCAGTCAATAATGTTGAAATAACCTTTTTTTCAACAAAATAAAAGATTCCATTTCTGTACAAGTAAAATAGGAATATCAGAAAGTAGTAGGTGCAGGAATTTTATTCTTTAAAAAAAAAAACGGGGGTTTATTTGTTCAATAATGATTTTCGATGATGTGGAAAAAATGGTCGTCAAAGGGCAAGTTTTAAACCCAAAAATCATTTATTTTTCCTGATTCAGCGAATAAAACATCAACATTTGGGAAAAGAAAAGATTTTTCGAGCAAATATTTACAACAGGGTTAATCAAGAAGAAGAGACTGCAAAGACGAATTAAAATTCTTAAAATATGACGATTAAGGGTTAAATTAAGTCTTCTGCCTTTAGTATAGTATTTCAATGGCTTATTTAATGATTTTTCAAAGAAAGAAATAAGTTTACAGCCGCAGTGAACCACGAAGTTAAGGGAATACAGTATAAATTCCGTACAGTCGTCTCTGAAATCACATCCTTGGTGGATGACCCTGTATAAAATGAATAAATGACGAATTTACCTCCTTCAGCTTTCTTGTTCATCTTATATACCTCTATACAGTTTTGTACCGACTAAACACTTAGTTTTAAGTCATGTGGTAAAATGTTACAACAAAAACATAATGATGATGATAATGATAATGATAAAGAGGATAAATAAAGTTGATAATGATGATTATGATTATGACAATGATGGCAATGATAATAATGATAGAAAATAATGAAAAAATAATGATGATTATAATGGTGATAATAATGATGATAATGATGACAATGATGACAAAATAATGATAATAATTATAATGATAATAATGACGATTGTAATGATGATAATGATAATAATGATGATAATAATGACAATGATGACAATGATGAAAATGATGACAATAATGATAATGATAATAGTGATGATGATAATGATCGTGATGATCGTTATAATGATGATAATAATGACAATATTGATAAAAATAATGTTGATGAAAATGACAATAAAGATACTGACGATGATAATAATAAATGACGATGTTGACAGTGCTGAAAATTATGATAATAATAAATGACAATGGTGACAGTGCTGAAAATGATGATAATAATAAATGACAATGGTGACAGTGCTGAACATGATGATAATAATAAATGACAATGGTGACAGTGCTAAATATGATGATAATAATAAATGACGATGTTGACAGTGCTGAAAATGATGATAATAATAATAACAAAATATTTAAATAGGCGAAAAAATAAGGAACTAAGCCTGAAACACAAATTTTAAATAAAAAACTAATTTTCCTTCTGCAAGATGAAAGCTTTAGAGTCCGGGCTCCACTTGATAAAAATACTGTGATCGTAGGCAACATTACACCTGGAGAATATTTTCAATAAAAGAACAAACGATAATTAAAATTCGATGTTGATGCTTCAAACCTCACAGAGTAAAAAAATAATTTTTAGAAAATATATTTCGACCCACTTCAGTTCCTAAATTGTTTCTGTCATGAAGATTCAAACAAAACAATTGAAATAGCGCTCTTATAAAACACGGGAAACAAAATAAAGTTAGAAAAAAATGGCCCCAAAGGTTGGCAAGGCTTCTGACGACCATTGAGAAGTAAAGGAACAATTTCATGTGACTCTCCGTACAAAGATGGCAAAGCCAGATTTACAATGATACCCTTTTTAAGTTTGTGTGTGTGAAGAGGCTTTTTTACTTTCAGATAATATTTTAGGTAAAACAAGTTAAAAATTAGAGAGCTTGTGGAAGATAAAAATGAATAAATGAACTACCTGTAGTTCTTGTGTTAAACAAGTTAAAAATTAGAGAGCGTGTGGGGGATAAAAATGAATAAATGAACTACCTGTAGTTCTTGTGTGAAACAAGTTAAAAATTAGAGAGCGTGTGGGG